CATTGAAATAAGACAATTTGAAGGATGGACAGCAAAATATTAACGTTATTCCCAAATAGTTTGTATTCCTTTATTTACGATTTTATTTTGGAAGCTTTCATAAGAAATTATTTATGTTAAAACGTGTCATGTTTGATTAAAGAAAAAATAATATTTTATCTAACGGAAGAGCTTGGGGTGAATAAATGTGCTCGGCGCCGGAGCTCTCAGAGCTTGATTTTGTCACACTTTCTATGTGCTTCTTTCCTGGGAATCACTGATGGGACAGAACACCTCGGCCGCTTGTACAGGGCTTTGTTCCTAACTATGGAAGGCAAAGGGAGACATGCGCACCTCTGGCTGGTCAAGCCGGGGCTCGTCCTGGCCTGTTTCCCCCTGAGCTACAGCCTTGTTCACCTCCCTAGGCGATCCTACTTGCCTCCCTTCTTCCCAGAATTAATTCTCTAGAAAGGTTTTGACATTTCTCTTTACTTCTCCTCCTCCTTAGTGCTTTTCCTTGTTTTCTTCTCTGGTAAAGTGAGGTAGTAGGGCTACATCATTTAAACTTTAAAGAAAATATATTACTGGTCTCACTGGGTCCCGTTGAAGGTTGAATTGCATGAACAGCGTAAAAGCATTTACTTACACAGATGCCGAACGGCTTTAGTATACACCCATGACAACATCCAGTAACTTCTGTCCTTCGGGCTTCTCTCAGGGCTGGCCTTTTGCACCATAATGAAATTCCCTGAAATCTGGACAGCTAAAGCCAAGTGACCAGCACGCTCTTTCTGCAAAGGTAATTCTAATAAATGGAGAAAAAGCAGTCCAGGAAGTTGCTTTTGTCTGCGTATTGCCTTTTGAAATCTCTTCAGCTGGCCAACTTTAGGTATTTCTTATAGAACATTTCACTCATCTATTTATTTCTCACACATATATTTTGGGAGCACTTTCTTGTCTCTGTTAAAGCTAGGGAGAAAGCAGGGGGATGGGCTTGCCAGACCAGAGGGGACAGGCTCGAGTCACCAAAGCATTAAAACCATTGTCTCAGCCTCTGCCTTCGGCTCAGGTCATGATCTCAGGGTCCTGGGATGGAGCCCTGCATCAGGGGGTCTCTGCTCAGCAGGGAGCCTGCTTCCTTTCCTCTCTCTCTGTGGGTCTCTCTGCCTACTTGTGATCTCTGTCTGTCAAATAAATAAATAAAATCTTAAAAAACAACAACAACAACAAACCATTGTCTCTTCTGGCTCTTCCACAGATGTCTACCCGTGATCTGATTTAACCCCCTGACCCTGTGAGTCCTCTAGATTTGGTGCTAACGTCCATCCTACATTTTCCTAATCATGGTTGGCGATGGCGTGTGTTTGCCGCGTCTGTTTGCCCAAAGCTGCCTCCTCTGTGAAACCGTGACTTCCACGAGGCTGGGGATGGTGTCTGATTTTCTCTCCATCGTGTCCCAGCACCCAGCTTCTACTGGCCCAGGTGGACTCTTGGGAAATACTTGTATGTTGAAAGAATGGATTCATCAGTTCACCTGTACTCTTGGGACTGTGCTCAGGGGGGAAACTCAGGGGTTAAATGACTTGCTGTGGGTCCAATTTTTTGTTTCTTGTTTGAGAAGACACAAGTTCCCAGTGGATGCTGTAACAAATTGTCACAGACTTATTAGTAACTTAAAACAGCACACCTTTATTTCTTATAGTGAGGCTTTTGAGGCTTTTGAGGCTAAAACAAAGGTGCCAGCGGGCCTGCATTCCTTCCTGAGGCTCCAGGGGGGGGAATCTGTTTCCTTCCCTTGTCCGGCTTCTAGAAGCTGCTGTCTTTCCTTGGCTCATGGTCCCTCACTCCATCTTCAGAGCACATCAGTCCAGTCTCTGCTTCTGCTGTCACATCTCCCTTTCTGATTCTGGCCATCCTGCCTTCCTCTTGCGAGGGGTCCTTGCGATGACATCGGGCCCACCTGGACGATCCAGCCTCCTCTTCCCATCTCAAGATCCTTAAACTGGTTGTGTCTGCAAATCCCTTTTGCCATGTTAAGCAACATTTTCATAGTTTGGGGTGCTAAGATGTGGGCATCTCTGGGAGGATTATTATTCGGTATGCCACACACAGAATCCTTGGAAAGGAGTCAGTTGACTTAACTGCTAGACAGAACGGGCTTCTGGCGATCATTCTCTTTCCATAAGATGACACAATGCCCCAGACCTTACCTATGAAGTTAATATAATGGGCTTGGGAGGGCAGAGGGGAGCTTGCTCATTGAAGTTAAAAGAAATGCCAGTGAAGGCATTTTAGGGAATTAATTCCTGGGTCAAAAGGAGGCCCAGAATATTCCATGGCTAGGCCAGAGGTGAACAAGCCTGCTGCTTAGGGGGAAATGGGCTTCACTCTCTGTTGGAGTAGAGCAGACCCTACTTGGCCTTCCACGTTTAAGTATGAAGTCTTATAAAAGTTGCAAATTATTTTTATCCTGCCATTGTCCTCCTGGGAGTTATTAGCGTTTCTAAATTCTTAGAAAACCTAGAAGGATGTAGTGCTTGCCCTAAGGTGGACAGAGGGAGGGGGTAAGACATGAGGGACACCTGTTTTGGGAGGGGAGAACACACAGGGCTGGACAACCTGGGGGGCTGGAGAGGAGGGGTTTGGACTGAAGGCAGGCAACCTGGACCAGCTGTTCCAGGTCCTTCTCTAAGGATGGAGAGGGTCCAGCTCTGATTCACCAGCAATACATGAGGGTTCCGGTTGCTCCACATCTTGGCCAACTCTTGTTACTTTCCTTTCTTGTAGACATCTAAGTTCTGTGAGGTGGTACCTTTTCATGGTTTTGATCTGCATTTCCCCAGTGACTTGTGACGTCACCCATCTTCTTATGAGTTATTGGCCATTTGTTTAGCTTCTTTGGAGAAATACCTGTTCGTGCTACTTGCCTCCTTAAAACACTTGGGTTGTCTTTTTGTGGTTGAGTTGTAGGAGTTCTCTATGTATTTTTGATATTAAACCCATATCAAATATTTAATTTGCAAAACTTTGCTCCCATTTTGTAGACTGTCTTTTTACTTCCTTGACAATGTCCTTTGCTGCACAACATTTTTAAAATGTGATACAGTCCAGCTTATCTGTTTTTCTTTTGTTGTTCAAGTTTAAGTGTCATTTCTAAGGATTGATGGCCAAATACGATGGAGATGTACTCTTGTGTTTTCTCCTGCTCTTTTTCACTTTTAACCAGTAAGTTCTCATGTGTATTTGAGAAGCCATTCGCGTCATCGGGCCAACATCAGAAACCTGGGAAGCTCAGCTAAGTCTGTCCTGGTGTCTGTCCTAGACGGGCCCGCAGAGTAGTGGGGAAAACAAAACTTTGCTAGTGACACGATCACAGTAATCACTCCCAGTCATTCCCAAATGCCAGTGTGAAGATCTTTGCCAGTCTGCCGAAGTTTGTGGGAAAAGAAATGAGAGCATTTTTAATATAGCTAATTTTTTTCCATTTAAGGTACTGTCCCTTATTATGCAAGTGGTTCCTTTGTTTCTTTCTTTCTTTTTTAAAGATTTTATTTATTTATTTGACAGACAGATCACAAGTGGGCAGAGAGGCAGGCAGGGAGAAGGTGGAGGAAGCAGGCTCCCCGCCGAGCAGAGAGCCTGATGCGGGGCTCGACCCCAGGACCCCGGGATCACTAACTGAGCTAAAGGCAGAGGCTTTTAACCCACCGAGCCACTCAGGCGCTCCACAAGTGGTTCCTTTCTATGAAGCTAGAAAGTTCTTATGACCTGAGGCTGACAGGAGATGGTGATGGTTTCTCTAGATGCTTCTACCTGGCAGAATAAGGATGATCAACTCAGTGTCAGACTTCCAAATTTAGAGGAGGAAAATAGAAGACTAAACTGAGAAATTTGAGAGGTTAGAAGTCACCGCAGATGCTAGCGTGGGTTTATGTGGGCCTGCAAATCATGTTGGGGGATCCCTGCCCAGAGTTTTAAGGGAAGCCTTCACAGAGGAGCCAGATTCTCTTTCTCCCTCAAAAATCTGACCTATTTCTTCTTCAATCGTCGTCTTTGTGCAAAACTTTGAGACATGGAGAGTAGGGAAGAAAGAATAGCAAATCAAAGCTCAGTCTGTTTCTTGGACTGGGTTCCCCTGGGCAGCCGCCGACTGATTCCCCTTATAGATTTTACCAGATGGTTTTTCTTTTTCATTTACTTAAGGTATGTTTTAAAAAAGAAAGAAAGACAGAAGTCCTACCCAGAAAGGAATTTTTTTTTTTTCTCATGGGAAAGAACACTCAGTTGTATTTGGGGACTGAATGAAGTTCTGCCAATGACTTCACCCTGGTAGAGCACTGAAATTCTCCCAAACATACTAATTAAGATACTTTTTGTCTTTTCTGTTGGTTTTAGCTTTGAAGATACGATAAAAATGGCATGCTGCGAAATTGAGGAGCCAAGTTTGGAGGAAATGACATGGTCTCTATTTGGCAGTTAGCCTTGAACTTGAATGACCTAGTCTAGCAAAGGTTCTCCAAACTTGTTTGATGGCCCCAGCACCTGGGCTGTGCTGGACAATCGTTCAGCTGAATGGTTCCTCCTGGAGTTGTGCAGTGCACAACCTATGCAGCTGTAAGCAGTAGCCTGATATACCTCAGCAAAAATAGAAATGAGCATAGACACTCAAGAAATGTATGCTTGTTTATAAATTATTTTTGTGCATATCCACTTAGATTATAGATGGATAAAACATGAGCTCTTTTCCTTGTTTTTTTTTTTTTTTTTAATTTAAAAAATAAAAATGAATACTATTTTAAACAGAATTTCACCTGTGCCCCAGGGGATGGTTTTGGACACCCTTCAGGGTAGGCCACCCTAGTTTGGAGACACCAGCCTAGGAAGAATTCACATGGCCTTCTCTATTATTCGGGCAGGGCAATGCATTTTTACGCCAAGTTTGCTTTGTGGTTACAGAGTACTTACTGGTCTAACCCCTTCCTACCAGAACCCCTGTCCTCAGCTGCTGCTTCCCATTTCAGAGTACACGGTCATTAATGAAGCCTGCCCTGGAGCCGAGTGGAATATCATGTGTCGGGAGTGCTGTGAATACGATCAGATCGAGTGTGTCTGCCCCGGAAAGAAGGAAGTAGTGGGTTACACCATCCCTTGCTGCCGGAATGAGGAGAATGAATGTGACTCCTGCCTCATTCACCCAGGTGAGTGTGGAATGGAGGCCTCAGGCTGCCTTTGTGTTTTCCCGAGGGTCGTGAATGGGAAGAGGCCAATCACTTAACTTTGGGCAGGCAGATATCAGAGGCTGTGATGTCATGATACTAAAAGTGGCATAATCCTGACTGTTCTAACTTCAGGCAAAGGAAGTAGAAGAATTAGGACCCTTTTCACCGTTAACATTATAAATCTGTGAATTCATCCACTCATTCATTCATTTGACAAAAGACTCAGCAGCTCCTGTGGACCATATCAGATACTGGGAATACAATGATTAAAAAAAAAAAAAGACACATTCCCTGCATTCCCGGAGCTTGCAGCCTGGTGGGGGAGATGGAGAAGTGAGCAGGCAGCTGTGGTACAGTGTGGTGAGCGCTGTGAGAGAGAAGCACAAGGTACCATGGGAATGTTGGGGGTGTCGGAGTCTTCCTGGAGGAGGTGATATGTGTGCTGAGGATGGAAACAGCAAACTGAACAGGGTGGAGGGGATCTGATAGAGAGATCAAGCCATAGAGGAGAGCATGTGCTAAGGCCCTGTGGTGAGAGAAAGCTTGGGGTTTTGGGAATTTCAAGTTCCTTGGTCTGGCTGAAGGTATGTGTATGAGTGTGTGTATGTGTGTTTGTGTGTGTGTGTGTGATGAAAAATATGGAGAGTGATAGACAAAGAGAAAACATTATAAGAGAACAATCTCAGGAAGAGAACAGGGCCAGACCCTGAAAGGTTTGCATGTTGCACTATGACTTCAGGTTATATCCTGAAGCTATTTTATCTATATCAGAGATCTTTGAGTGAAGACATGAAAGCTGATTTTCTCTGTGGCTGCAGTATGGAGAAAGGATTGGAGGAAGGCCAGGGCAGGAGCAGGGGAGGAATAACAGGACCTTAATGAATGTAGAAGCCCTGTGCATGGAGAGGGGTGGAAGGATTTCAGAGATACGCAGAAGAGTGGAATTGACAACAATTTGAGATTGGCCGCTTGGGGAAGGGAAGAGCAGAAGTCAAGCATGAGGCTCTGGCTCTGAGCTGGACATTTAAGAGGTGGTCCCAGTAATAGGAGAGCATCTGAAGGTGAGACGGGACCTTCCCAGGTCACAGCCTGCATTCCCTTGCCTTCTTCCAAACCACCATATCTCCACCAACCAGGGGACAGCGACTGTCTTTTCTGCCTGTCTGCCTGGAGGCCCATGTGGACACTGAGCCTCAGACTGAAGGTGTTTCCAGCATGATTAGCAAGTCATAGAACAATTTCTAGGTGCTTTCCTATCTGCTGCTTGGCATATCTGACTTTTCCCAGGGGAGTCTTACATTTACCTTTTAGGCAGATCAAAAGGAGGACATAGAGAGTTTCCAACATACTTTCCTTAGGCTGAAGACCGAAAGGATGTCAAAAGTGCATTTGGGGGAATTTCTCTCATTTCTGTCTTTCCCCTTCTTTTGCAAACACACAGCATGACGCACATAACTGCCAGGAACTTTCTTTTGTGGGAGGCTATAGAAGTAGAAAGCAAATGGGACTCAAGTAAACAAATAATACTTTTAAACCATCTTCCTTCTTAGACGAGAGCAATGCTGAATTTGAAAATTGGAGTGACCTCAGTATAGCCTTTGTACATTTTGATTTAGAAAAGAAATCCACTGCCCGAGTTCCCTGACAGTGAGCATGTTTTGTAGGGACATAGTGGAGGAATCCCTGCAAATTTTCTAAGGTCATTTTGAGAGCTCAACCAGGATCTCCCGACTAGGGGTCCTTGGCAGTTGTATGGAAGTCTTTGAATAATTTTCAATATTTTCAGGAGTCTAGAAGTCACCTTTGAGGTGAGAGTGGACTCACTCTCTCGCTGGAGAGAGAGCTCCAGAGGTGGTGTTTGTCCTTCTTACTGTATTGTACAGACAGCAGTCCCCACCTGCCTCAACCACACACGACAGCTTCCTGTTACGTCATTCTGGAGGCGCCCAACGTCACGCCCTTGAACGGTGCTGGGAACCATCTTTGGATCTAAGTAGAGGAGAGCTAGTTACCCTGAAAGGGAAGGGATCTAAGTAGAGGAGAGCTAGTTACCCTGAAAGGGAAGGCTACCTAGAAGCTTCTTTTCTTTTTCTGATTTTCAAAACAGTGAGTTGATATCCTAGCAGTCCCTATTGGTGATCAGAGAGTGTGTGTGTGTGTGATTATGAACTCAGGTACTTTTACTGATGTGGTTTAATCCACTGCAGTCATGATTCATTTTCATGTGTGCATCCCCCAACGTCAGGACCCCGGCGAGCCTCTTGCGTCCTGAGTTCTTCAGATAAGACCACACTAGAGTTTGAAAACTTCCCTGATTTCCTACGTGACAAGATGTTTCAGAATCTTCTCGTGTCTTTTCTGCCCCAGGTCTGGAATTGGCCATTTCTCCAAGGAATTCTGGTCTGAGGCTACACTCTGGGCTCCTAATGTGTTCCTTGTTACTGGACTGTCACTGTTTCACTAGGACTATTATTTATTTATTTCAAGTGGGTGGGGCTAAGAAATGGCATTTTTAAAAAAAGAAAAAAATGAGTCAATGCTGATACTCGAGTTCAAATGTAATATTCCAAGGTTGTTTAATTAACTTGGTTGACTTTGTATATCTTTTCTGTCATGTGGACAGCCTGTTTCCTAATAATATTAACCTGATCACTTGTTGCTTGGTTTTATAGCATAATATAACCGCACAAAATAGCAATAGCACTGATTTTGTTTGCAGTAGCACCATTAATACTAATAAGACCACTGATGGTGTTGGCTTTTATTGACCTTAGACTATATCCCACTCAATATGCATAGTCAAAATTCAATGTTTTGAAGCCAACTGATGTCGTCCTTTTGTCTGTGGTCTTACACCACCTACTTGATACATAGAAAGGTTTATTATTTCCATCTGTTTTCTATATTTGACAACATAAGCAAATATATGTTTGTGTATACATATATATATATATCTTTCCCCTTCTTGCACAAAAGATCGCCTACGAGAAACGCTGCTAACTACCTTGCTTTTTTCTCTTGACAGTATCTGCTGGCTATCACTCACTGACAGTATAAAGCCATTTTTTTTCTTTTATTTTTACAGTTGCCTATAACTGCATTGTGAAGGTTGGTGTAGTTTATGAGTATTTGGGTTGTTTCCAAGCTTTTGCTATTATAAATAACACTACAGTGAGTAGTCTCATGCATACATCATTTAGTATTTTTGCAGTGTTCTTTGGGTTAAGTCCCTGGGAGAGAGACCGCTGAGTCAGAGAGAGGGGTGTATGTCGTGTTGCCAACCTTTGCCTTGTCCGCCTTGCACTTGGCATTCACAGCAGCCGCCTGTGAGGGCGCTGTGTTCCCAAAGCCTCGCAACACAAATTGTGAATTTTTGCCAACCTCAAGGGTGAGAAATGGGATTGCGGCATGGTTTTAGAATTTCTGTTGTTTCTCTCATCATGGTAGACAACTGTCTCTTTTCCGGTGGCGGTGGTTGCAGGCAGGTGAGCATCCATGCTCACAGTCACAGAGGTGTCAGTAGTGATGTCCAATGGTCTCCAGCAGACCTGGGGCCCTCTCTGGAACAAGTCTGCTGTATATGTTCATATGGTTCCAGGCTATGTAGCTCTGAACTCGAGCCTCTGGCTTTTGTGGCAAAGCTGTGAGCTCCTGAGTGTCTTTTTGTAATAGCCTTGCTCACCTTCATCACCTGGCTGGTTTTTCTGGCTTGGGACCTAAAAGCCTTGAAGTTACCGTGCTGAGAGTGAAGGTTGTCAGGGCCACTGGGGGCAGACTCTGAGTCTGTTCCTCCTCAGTGGCGCAGTGGATAGGGAACCAAAGAGGGGCAAGGGGCACGTGGGGTAAGATGGCCTTGGGAAGAGCAGTGATGCCACTGGGACCCTGCTGTGGGCCACATGAGCTACTGGAACTGGGTGAATCATATTAGCAGCTCTTTGGTGGGAGGAAACACTGGGACGGGGAAGCCACGTCAGGTGGTGTGCAAGGCGAGGACCACGAGCCTCTGTCCTCCAGAAACTGCACAGACATACGCTGCATGTCTGCAGTATGGGTCGAGGAAAACCTCATTTCAGCCAAAATCAAAGCCATGTGCTCTCTGCTCAGGGAAACGCCGGTTATCTCAAACAGCTGAGAAGCCCGGATTCGCAGCTCATCCATCCAGCCACATGTCCGTCTTACTCATTCACCCAAACTGTATTTACTGAACGCTGGCTATGTTGCAGATATTATATTAAGTGCTGGGGATATGCTGTTGAACGAGATGCAGTTCCTGACTTCGGACTGTCATAGGAAAACAGATAACAGGCAGTTAAGATTGCGCATGACGTATGCAATGGTGGGGATAAGACGAGCGGAGGTATGGGAGTGCAGAACAAGGAGCACAGTTCACTTCTGGGGTGTACGTACTATGTGCCAGGCCCTTTATATGTGTTAATTTAATTTTTAAAACAACCTTAAGAGGCAGGTAAAATTTTTTAACCCTTGTTTTACAGATGATGACATTGGGGCACAGAGACCTCAAGCAGTTTGCTCAAGGAAACACAGCTGAACCATGGCAGAGCCTGAACGTAGCTCTCCATTTTGATAAGTGGGATTGGATTATCTCTTTCATCACAGTCGCCCCTCCCCTCCTCCAAGAGACTGTGTTATAAAAATGACCCTTACCGGGGAACCTCTCAACCCTGTCTGGCGTGACCTGCTGGTGGGGGCAGCTCGGCACCTTCCAGGGTGAGCCCATTATTAGGCATCAGGGTTGTTTCCAGTGGCATACTTTTGTTATAGAAGTATAGGACATAGAAGAATATTTAATGGAACAGGGAGATACTCTCTATTATGACATGAAAAAATGAGCAATGAAAGCAGAATATACGATATAGAGTGTAAGCCTAGTTTTTTTTTTTTTTTAATTGTTTTTCTACATACACAGAGAGAGTGTGTTACTAGAAGTTGTTCCCAGGCAATGGCCCTTTAGGTGTTCTTAATTTCATTCTATTTGCTTGCCTGAATTTTCTCAATATTCCATGAGAAACATGTGGAGTGTCCGCCACTGACTTGGAACACGGTTCGGACCACCCTCCTAGACTTCTTGCTGCGAATTCTGGTGACTCTGGCATTTTCCTAGGAATGAGCATTTTCCCCCCACAAGGGCTCTGGCGCCTTTCCAGGCGAGGCCCTGAGAACGTCCAGCAGCTCTCGCACGCCGCCCATCAGAACCTGCCAGTGCATAATCTGACCCCCTTGTGCTCGCACATGTTCCAGGTTGCACCATCTTTGAAAACTGCAAGACCTGCCGGAACGGCTCATGGGGCGGCACGCTGGACGACTTCTACGTGAAGGGGATCTACTGTGCCGAGTGCCGTGCGGGCTGGTACGGAGGAGACTGCATGCGTGAGTAGACCCCGAGGCAGCCCCCTCACACCCCCACCGCCACCCCGCCCTGGTGCAGGCCGCTTTCAAGGCTCAGTTTGCAACAGACTGAGGTTTAGCTGGTTGCAATCTGAGTTCTGGAAAGCTGTGGCCGGAGGGCTTTCTAGGTAAGACTATAAAAAACAAAGATGTGTTTCCATCTGCTGGGTGTGGATTGCGGACATCTGTTCGGAACTGGCGGCAGAAGGTTTACGCCTGCTCTTAAATCTTCTCCTTTCTCCTAAATGCAGCGAAGACATAAGACATTCGGCACACAGCAGGCCTCGTGTCCATTCCAGAAGCAGCTCTGTGTCAGCAGTGGTCAGCAAGCAGTGAATGAGGCTTCAAATATGCTAAGTCCTGTGGTGTGTTTTCAATATGCATTTCTCTTGGTGAATTTCTGGACTCCTGAGTTCAATTCCCGGAACCCACATCAAATTGTCAGCATGCCACTTATCCCAGGAAAGAGAGTCTTTCTGGGTTCTACTTCGTCTCTAAGAATTACTTAATCTTTATTAGGGTTCCCTGCTGAATTTCAATAATCCTTCGAAAATGGAGTGGAAATCTAACCTCTCAATTTCAAACTCCCCTCCGCAGTGCCGGGCAGATGACTATCCCTTTGAGAGTCTGGGGCTGGAGCAAACATGTACAAACTGTTGTTTTGTTGAAGCCTATGTTACATGCTCCCTATTTGAATCAAAGCAGCCGGGGTGAGCTGACAGCCTGAGCAATTTTCCTCTTATGAATGATATTCCCAGTTGGTGGAGATGGAGGATGGAATGCTATTGCTATTCTTTGCCTGATCCAACCTGCAGCAAAATGCCATGAGCATCAAGTGTCTCAGGCGAAGGTTGAGCTGTGTGGTCTGCAACCGAGGACCTGAGCTCTACCTGGAGGAGAAGGGGTATAGTCGTTATTTTCGAATGAACTGGGGAGCCAAATTATCCAGAGTACAGATAATTTTCAGAAGTGCTGGTCTGGGTTGCAGGCCTAAAACTTCAATATCATTTTCAGTGGGTTCTGGGAAACTTAATTTAATAGTTGGTAGGTAATCTTATACATAGGTTAGCTTCCGGATTTAACCCTGGTCTTCCTTTGGCAGCTGTTCTCGGAAGGTGACCTAACATAAGGATCTAGAGTCCGGAATGATGCAGACCTGGTTTAATGATTTTGCCAGTCACTAGCGTTGTGGCCTTGGCCAAGTCATTTAACCTTGTTCAGCTTCGTTTCCTTTTCTTTACAGTGGGTGTAACACTACCTCCTAGGGTTGTTTCAAGAATTCGGTGAGATAATTCATGGGAAGTGCTTAATGCTTTGTCTGGCACATAGTAAAGCCTTAACAAATGCAGTAAATATGTCATTATTGTTCTGTATACTCCTTAATTGCCAAGCTGGTGGGTGGTCCAGAAATAAAACTACTTTCAATGAAAGTTTAAGAAAGACATAATTAGAGATACAATGCACGGTTTTAGATTTCACACTGACCTTTGCGGTATCGGAGAACTTTGGGGTTTTCTCCCCTTTGGATGTGAGAAGTCGCTCTTTTCTTGTGTGAGTAAATGGTGGGGGGGTGGTATGTGATGGGAGGAGCCATCTGCCGACTTCAGCTCACCCATGACCTTAGAGGAAGGGCGAGTCGGTAAAGAGCTGAGATGTTATTCTAAGTACACTGGGAAGCCAAGGAAAACTGTGGACTAGGGTATGGCCGAGGGCTCTGAGAACATAGGTAAGAAAACAGATAATCCCAGGGAGTTAGGGACAGGAGAGGATTCAGAAGGGTGATGGTGGAGCTATGCCTTTGCTCATCAGTGGGTAAGACAGGAAGGTGCTGAAGTCTGTGTGATTCGAGACCCCTTGTTCTTAACCACAGTAGCATCCTGCCTCCACTGGTGGGGGCCTTCCCACAGCTCTGTTTTCATCGAAAAGTGGGAAGCAAAATCTTTGCTGAGGGTGAAGCGGATATATGGCTGCAGCTTGAGAGTATCACAGGTTTGGGACAGCCAAAGGAGGACCCAGGAGAGGCACTGGCTCATGATAAATTAAAGCTTGTCCAAGCAAGACTGAGGACCCCCGGGGAGGCTGGATTTCCACAGAGGTGATGCCGTCCCAACAGGCTGTCTAGCAGCACGGGAGCAGAGGTGAACAAAACCAATAATGCAGTGGCTCCGGGAGTTGGCTGAGACGAGGTTGTCCTGATTGGGACAGACATGAAACCACAAAGAGCCTGGAGAAGGGATAGGATGAGCAGTGTCAGTGGGTTGGAAAAGCAGGCACAGTGGTAATAAAAGAGTCGAACACGGAGGCAGGAGGGGTGTTATGGTCATAGAACAGAATTTCCAAGTGGATGCTTTTGGGAGTAGTGGTGATAATGTGTTCATTTATATTCGTCGCTTTTCTTCCGTGTAACAAACCCATCTCAAAAGGACAAATGTTTATTTTCCTTTTTCATGGGTCTGTGGCTTGGCTGGGGTCCAGCCGATTTCAGCTGGGTGGGCCTGGGTTACACACCAGCTTCCGGGCTCAGCCCAAAGGAGCAGCAGCTACTTGGGACATGTTCTTCTCAAGGTGGGTTGCAAAAACATTAGGGGCCGAGCCAAACACACAGGTACATTCAGGGCCTCTACTTGCATCATACCCATGAACTTTCCAGAAAGAAGTCACATGGCCAAGCCCCAGATCAGTCAGGTAGGGAAGTAGATACCATCCCAAGGAAGAGGGGTACAAATATTTCCTAAACAGTACTCCAGTTGCTCTGTATAAATAAATGAGTCTGTTTAGGGGACAGGGCAGGGAAGGGAAAGGATATTTGCCTATAGAAGACTGCTAAAGCAAGCAGTAATAAGACGGAGGATAGCAGGAGCCTTTCCCAATAACACCCATTGGTTGAGTCTTGGGTTTGGCCTCCGTGTAAAAGTTGGCTGCATATGGAGTCTGACTGGTTGGATAGTGATGGTGTCCATATGTAAATTCAGGGCTTTCTTGAGGCTAGCAAAACTGGCTCAGGCAACTAGGAAAGAGGAGGGAGAGCATGATTCCTTTTTCTATCCATCCATTCAAAACACATTGCCTGAACGGATGCTCCTAGGTGCTGGGCGTACAGTGAAGGGCAAGGCGGACATGGTTCCTGCCATTCTGGAGCTTGCGATTTAGAGAGGAGAGACCAATAAATAAATAACTAAATAAATAAATAAATAAATAAATAAAAATAAAAAAGAACTGGAATGTGGTCACTGCTATGAGACAAACAGGATAATGGTCAGATTCCTGTCTCATTCCGCGATGGTTCCGGTACGCTTGTTAAATTTCATTATGTTCTGAAAGCCTCTTTGCACACACTGGGTGTTATTTGATCCCTGCCATAAGCATTTATGATGCATTTCTTACGGGCTGGCCACCAGAGAGAACCGTGAGCCCTCACCGCGTTCACAGTCCATTATGGAAACAGGGCTTGACCGTTCGAAGACATCAATATGATGGTATTAGGTTCTTATCACCAGCACCTCATATTGGCATTAAATAAATGATGGGAATTCAAAGGAGGAAGTAATTCATTTCAACCATTTGCTGAATGCCTGCCTGGGGCTGGGCATGCACTGCCTCCTTCTACTAGGAGGGAGCTGAACCCGGGGAGGCCTGTTCCTGGGCTGGCGCAGTGCAAGCATTTACCCAGTAGATGGCACCCAAGTGATCTTTTCAGGCTCTTTAATCCTGAAGGACGGCTTCTTGCTGAGCAGCCTCTGTAGAGTCCTGGCATTTTTTCTGGAGTGCCATAGAGACCCTGGGAAGGAGAAGTGACAGGCAAACACCAGAAAGGATCAGAATATTTTATATTTAATTATAGAATATGCGGAAGAGAGCCAGTGTTAGAGCACCTTTATCTGCTTGCTGTCCTTGACAATCTTTGTGATAATTAGCATTAGCCTAACTTATGACAGTCTTAGAACCCATTATGTGACGGGGTCACTTATAACTGTTGACAAGTCATATTAACAAAGAGAAGAGGAGAAGGGCCCGAGGTCCCTGAGCCCAGGAGAGGACTTTACTCACATCCTCTTGCCCAGGAAAGATTGGTTTAGTAAACTCAGAATATTCTGGCTACGGAAAGGAGCTAATTCTTTCTTCCTTCCCCCAACTTTTTATTTTGACAAATTTTATATTTACAAAGAGCTGAAAAAGTAGCACATTCATAGCCTTCACCTGGATCCACCAATAATCACTTTCTCACATCTTTCTCTCTCTTTTATGGCGTTATGAACTCATTAATTTACATTTTTTCCCGCATTTTGTAATGTGATCATCATTTTTCTTTTTGATGCTCGAATGGTCCCAGAATTGGCCAGTGAAGATCCTTCAAGCCAGCTCCACAGCGTCGTTCTTTAGGCAATTGCTTGCTTTCCCTCTGCTCTCCTCTCCCCCCAGATGTTTCAAGTTCACGTTGATGGTTTACGTCTGGGTCATAGAACCCGCCATTTCTCTACGAATCCTGGTTCCTTTTGTGCAGAATGGTATTTAGGAAGTGGGATCTGGACGCTGGTTATGAGAGGCACTGATATTTAAAGTCAAAATCAAGGCTTCCTCCCAAAGCTTCATAAATGGAAAATTAACGTCTTAAGAGGAACCAGTCCATTGAGCTTTAGAGTGGAGCTTATTCAACCTGGGCCTCGGGCTGAGTGTTTCAGCCGCTGAATGAGACAAGCAATGAGAGGGCCTAAGCGCTACTCAGGATAACACACTTCTAGCTCACACTGCAGTGACCCAGACTTTCAGGATATGGAGAATTTAAGGGATGGAAGGTTAGCCAGTCAACCCAGACGACAGAGTATTTATGGGGAGAGATTATAGACCCTTAATACATTTTATGTTCTTAGCCATATTTTGGATAGAGCAGAGGGGCTGGCCATGAGCCATGCCTAAAGATGTGGGGCTAGAATATCAGAGAGGGAGATGATTTGTGTAGGCTGGTCCTTGAGCCATCATGGGGA